ACCCCAGACTACCGTGAATCACTGGGTACGACAATGAACAGGAACATCACCACGAGGAAGGATAGCAGAGCTCATAGAAGGGTTTACCTCAGTGAGCAAAACAGGTACAGATGATACATTTGCATCGCTTTTGCTGGGATTCAGCGTCATCTATTATGGCTTTAGCGTTCCTCCGTCGCATACTAACACCTTCTACCAAGAAGAACACCCTTGGAACAGCTTGTCGAGGTGAGACAGCTGGTCGATAATGGCTTTCATAACTGTGAACGTGTGAGCTTGGTGTTCAGTGACAGGTATGAAGAGCAAGAGATACAATACATTCGTGGACAAACTACTAACTCGTCAAACTAGACGTTGTGTAACGTTCCCTGCAGATACGAAGGCTGAATCGAATAGGTTCACCCAGTGCATCCGTTTGATTTCATTATTGATTGAGAACCTGACGTTGAAGAACACAGTCACTAGAAGAGACCTGTACTACCAGGATGTGCAGCTCTTTAAGTCCCAATCTGTGGTGGATTCTCTGATAGAGCTCTTCACACAGTGCATGAACATAACAGGCGAGGAATTAGGTGCCATCGCTGCTCAAAAGGGGTTGATGGTTGGAGATGTGACTTTGCACTGCCCAAATGGTGTACTGACAGACTACCGTTGCTTTGGGAATGCCATGTTGATACCGAGGTTCGGCAATGGAACCGTCATTACCTTGATTAGCGAGGTTGACTACATCTTGATTGTGGAGAAAGAAGCAGTGCTAAGCCAATTGATCAAATCAAAGGAAAAAAGGCTGTTGATCTGTGGGAAGGGATACGCAGATGTGCTGACAAAGACCTTTGTCAATCTGTTATCAAGGTGCTTACCGGACGTCCCAATATTGGGCATTGCTGACTTTGATCCATATGGATTCCTCATTCTTGAAAACTACAGGTCTGGGAAGGGTCATTTGGATCAATCGTGTCCTCATTTGCAATATACAAAGGCTTCGATATTACATTTCATCAAAGGCTCCTCGATTCTTAATTTGACCTTGAGAGACTTCAAAAAGTGTGTTAAATTGTTGCACACCCTCGATCTTTCTAACCTTCGTGCAAGACAGGAAGTTCAGAGGCTCATGGTATTGGGTAAAAAGGCAGAATTGGACGTCATCAAGGACCCAGACGGCGAGCTGGTGCACTACATCGATCGTATGTGTCGATTATCGCTAAAGTGAAGGTATATTAAACAACCAATCTGGAGTTTTTGGCGTTCTTCTTGCGCATTTGTCTCAATGAGTCTCTTTTTCTTCTCTTGAATTCGTTGGTCAACTCAGCTCTCTTATCCCAAAACGTTGATTCCCACTCTGTGAAATCGACGTTTGTATTGAGCTTGTTCAGCTGGGTCTGTGCCACCAAGAAAGGAGATTCGAAATGTGGGAAGAAAAGCCCCTTGCGTTGTTTGACCTTTGCGATGATTGGTACGATAGGCTGTTGTGGTAAGTCAATATCAGCTTCCACAGGGTTCCTGGTCTTATCAATATCCTCGTCGGACTCTTCGATGAGGTTGAACGTCGTTGCTGATTGATCCTCGTTGAAAAGAGAACGTAAAGTCTCTGTATTTGAAACAGTCCCTTCTACAAGCGTTGGTTGGGGCTCCTTGGCTATAACTTGTGACTCAACGCCAAACGTTGGTACGAATTCGATGTCTTCAACTTCGTCATCTGCATCTTCATCATAGTGTTCAGCTCTTGGTGCATCTTTGCTAAACTCACCTTCTTTGACGTATTCAATCTTGGAGAGATCCACAGGTTTCAGCCCGAATTCCTCTTGATCGCTTTCGAGGTCACTCTTGTTGTACTCATAATCAGAACCACCGAACTCATCAACCTCTTCTTGATAATCCAACGGTTTCTCGAAATCGAAATTGCCCAAGATGGTGGCTAGAACCTTGTTGTTCTTCTCCACTTCAATGGCCTCTTCCTCTTCATCTACAAACTCCTCCAATAGCTTATGATCGTCCCTCTGTTTTTCCAGCACAAGCTCGTTATCGCCTTGTTTGAGCCTTATCCTGGTGACCCTCTCCACTATATGTTCGTTACCATCTTTCCAAACATTGTTCTGGTATCTATAGACGAGGTCTCTCAGCTTCTTGTTCTTCTCATAACCCCAGAGCTTCGTCTTGTGACACTTGACAACCTTTACCGTGCCGTTGAAATTCACTCTAAGGGTCATGTGCTTCAGCCCCTTTCTAGGTTTCTTTCTCATTCGCCCAGGGATTATTTCTTGTCTGTCTTTATACGTCATGTTGATGTTTTCAATCTTCTTATAAAACTCGTACTCGTTCTTGAGCATCTTTGCCCTCTTTGGTCCATTGGACCTTGAAGCATCAACCTCCCACCTCTGCTCGTAGGCAGGCTTGGCTTCGTCGATCACAAGCTTACCACCTTTATACTTTATGCCGTTCAAGGCTCCTTTCAGCTTCGCAAAGGACTTATCACTAACTTCAATGTCCAAATACCCAAACCCATTCTGTCTCACGCTGTTGAAATGAAGCTCGAACTTGGACTTCAGAGAGCCAAATTTAGCTATTCTAACTTCCAAATCCTCGGGAGTTTTGAACAGATCTGCAGATATGTTACCAATAAACAGTCTCTTAACCTTGAGTTCTTCCATTTTGTCCAGTTCTCGATGGATTGGTTCGATAGTGAAAAGAGTGGAAGCTCTCTCGAGACATCCTCCAAAAATTTTAGCCCCGATGAGATGAGATGGGGAGGTGATTTTGATGACAAATCACTTATGTAATCAAGATTACGTAATGGTCCCGAGCCTCGAATGTGGAAGGGGAAAAAACATCAAAATGGACAACATCAACAACAACAACAACATCAACAACAATTGCAACAGCAAAAACACACCCTTCAAAGGCAGGCCCAACCAACGAGAAACAGACGGTGGTGTTCGAAAATGAGCGAAGAAACAATTGACGGTGCTTTCTATTCAAGCGCTGCACAGGCTGTGTTTGCCGCCCCAAAAGTTGTGGATGTGCCGATGGACTCCATCGATGAGGTTGTGTCCATTGATCTTGACACGGAGCTGTCTGATGATGCTACTGAGCTCATCACTTTCCTGCTGAATGAGAAGGCTATTCCGAAATACTGGCTGATCGTTGCTTCTGCGTATGCCAACAAAGGGCTGATAAGTGAGGCTCGACAAGTTATCACTGCTGCGCTGGAGAGGTTTGCCAATGACCACCAGGCTGCTATTTTCCATACGTTCATGGCTTGGCTTCATATCAGACTTGCTAGAGCTGCTACGAGCTCCGAAGATAAGAGCAGCGAGCTCTTGATGGCCACGGAATCAACCAAGATGGCGTCCGGGTATGAGGTCACCATTCCTTTGAACATGTTGGCTAAAGCTGAAGTTCTCTACCTCCAAGGTAAGGACGTTGAGGCGTTGAAAGTTATTGACTCTCTATCGAGCTTGGCAAATTATCCTTATACTCAGGTGTACTCTTCACTTGTGAGGGCTAAAATCTCATTCAAGAGAAGAAGATTCAATGACAGTTTAAAGCATTTCCAAGCGGTTTTGGTTGAACAACCTTTGATGAAACCGGATCCAAGAATTGGAATTGGTCTCAGCTTTTGGGCCTTGAAGGATAAGAAGCTTGCGATCCAATCCTGGGAAAGAGCCTTGCAGATTGATCCAGAGAATGAAGTTGCAAAGACGTTGTTGGTGTTGAGCAAATTTGACACATCTTTCAACTCTGTTAGTGATGAACAATTCTCCAAGAACTATTTGGGTGCATTGGAATCACTTGGTGAATTGTTGAAACAGGACTCAAAATCACCGGTGGCATTGTTGCTTCTTGCAAGTTATCACTACTCTAAGGGGGAGTACGCACAAGTAACAAAGATTGCTACAAATGTCATCTCTACAACTTTTAGCTCAACAGTGGCAGTGTCGGATGCACACTTTTGGCTGGGTCGAATTAGCTTTGATAAGGGAAACTTCACCGATGCTCAGAGACATTTCAAGGAATCTACCGAATTGAATCCAAATAATGTCTTGTCACAGTTTGGTCACATTCAATCCATTTACAAAAGAGATGAACTTCAGGATGCCATTTTTGCCGCCGAAACTTTGACCAAGAGCCATCCAAAGGTTGCAGAGTTTCACTATGCACTGGGTATGCTCTATGCAACAAAGCTAGAGAACACATCCACCTTCAAAGATTTGAAAACAAATTCCGATGACGAAGCAAATGCTATTTCAGCGCTGCAAGAATATATCAAACTATGTGTAAAACACGACGAACCAATTGCATCTGCGGCTTACTTGACACTTTCAAGATTCTCTGAAAATAAGAACAACTTGGAAGCCCTAAAATACTTAACAAAGGCTGTTGAAAGTTTCCAAAGATACGGTGAACAAGTTCCACCTGAACTCCTGAACAACATGGGTGTATTTCATTTCATCCAGGGGAATCCTGAATCTTCGCAAACTCTTTTCAAGAGTGCTATTGAAAGCAATAAATCGAAAGAAATGGCCATTACTCTGTCGTATAACTTAGCCAGATCGTCTGAAACTGGGGCTGAAGAGGAATCCATTGCAACATACGATAGAATTCTCAGTGATACACCTGGCTATACATATGCAAAGATGAGACTCTTGTTTTTGGAACTAGTCAAAGGTGGTAAAGGGGATGAGCTTGATGCGAAGATCGACTCGCTATTAGCCTCCAACGAATCCAATTTGGAAGTTCGTGCCTTTTATAGTTGGTACTTGAAAAAGACAGGCAGAGGCTATAACACTGGGTTGGAAAACAAACACAACAAGGAAACACTGACAAACTACGACTCGCGTGACACGTATGCATTGATCTCATTGGCCAACATGTATAGAACAATCGCCAGGGAGATCAAGCCGAAGACTGAACAAGACCAACAGAAGAAGAAGACTTCGTACCACAGAGCTGCGCAACTTTTCCATAAAGCATTGTCCACCGATCCAAAGAATGCATTTGCCGCTCAGGGTATTGCCATTATCTTCGCTGAAGAAAAGAAACAATCGCAGGCTTTGGAAATCTTTAGAAGAGTCAGAGATGCTGTCGATAACTACTCTGTGCACATCAACTTGGGCCACTGTCTTTGTGAATTAGGACAATATTCTAAGGCTATCCAGGAGTACCAGATTGCATTGGCCAGATTCAGCGATGAGACTAAGGATTCTAGAACTTTGTCCCTTATTGGTAGGGCATGGTTCCTTAGAGGTGGTGCAGAAAAGTCCCTGGAGAGTTACATCAAAGCTTTGGAGCTTTCTAACAAGGCGTTAGAAGTTGCAGAGAATAACAAAGCTAAAAAACTGATACCAACTCTTAAGTTCAATGTTTCCTTCGTTAAGTTCAACATCGCACAATTTGTTCTGAAATTGGATGTTTCTAAAAGAGCTGTTGATGACATAACAAAGGCCATAACAGGTCTTGAAGAGGCGATTGATGTTTTGAACGAGCTTGCTAATGATGCTAATCCACCAGTGCAACCTGAAATGTTGAAACAGAGAGCTAGCATGGGTACAAACACTCTGAAGAAACAGCTCGAAAGATTGTTGAAAGAACAAGAAGAGTACGAATCCAAGTTCAAACACAAGATTGAAGAAGCGTTGCGTATTAGAGAAGTTGAAAAGGCTAAGGCTGCTCTTGAAGAAAAGAAGAGACTGGAAGAACAGGAAAAGAAGGAAGCTGAAATGAAGATTGAGTACGATAGATTACAACAACAAGCCAAACAATGGGAGGCTGATCGTGAGCAAAACCTCATCTATGAAGAAGAGGAGAAGAAGACTAAGAAGAAAAAGAACGCTGTTTGGACTGATGAAGAAGCCAGTGGTGACGAAGATGGTGAAAAGGCCAAGAAGAAGAAGACTAAAGCCAAGAGAAGCAGAAGAAAAGCTGTTGTTGATGACGATGACGAGGAGGCTTCTGTTAAAACCCCAAAGAAGAGAAAACTCACAAAGGCCTCCTCGAAGATCAAATCTGCAGAGGTCATTGAGGACAGTGATGAGGATATGGATGATTTCGACGAGTCTAAACTGGATGATGACAACGAAGAAGACGATGCCCTGGAGAAAGCTGAGGCAAATATTGACGGTGTGAGTGATGATGATAAGGACGATGAAGATGAGGGTCTCTTCTAAAAAAAAAACATAATATACTACACTGTATATCTAGATGTACGATTACTCAAGAGTGTGAGAGCTGATATCTTTGTAGCCTGTTTCTTTCATTTATTCTCATTATGCATCCATTTCCTAAGCTGTTTATAACTATCATGAGACGTCTTGTACAGCACCTTTTCAAACTCGTCCAACGAATACAGGAAGTTACTCTCCTGATGTGCACCTCTAAGATTCTGTGCATAGTTGTTGATCTCGTGTGCTCTGTCTCGAAGCATCTGCTGTGCAACTTCTGACAGCTCCTTATCGTTGTAGAGCTTAGCCCACTTTTCAACTAATGAGTAGAAGTGTTGACATATTGAATGCGCATCCAGTGAGACCGCATCTGTCTTAATAGCGTTGATCACCTTCTTGTTCAGTGCCTCTGGTTGTAATAGATCTACGAACCCAACCTCTGAAGTCTCTGAGACAGCCGATATGGCTAAGAACTCTGCTATCCACAATGGCAGCTCAACCTTAGAGCCTTCACTAATATCCGCTCCTGGTGTGCCTTCCAAGTACCCCAAGAGAGGAACTGTGATGTTGAACTTACACGGAACCCTTTGCGATTCACTCAGAAAGTCGTCAAGATCGTAGTACGACATCTTTTACCCTCTTTTGCTGCCCTTTGAGTCGAGTCCTTGTAGGAAAGAAAGGTAGTGAAATGGTGCTGGTGAAGATTACGGGAAGTAAACATTGGTGTCCGGGTGTTTTGTTGGTGATGATGCGACGCGTCGGTTTTCTTTCGCGTATATTTTCCTCTTTTACGCGTCAGACACCATCTTTCACTGTTTGTATATCTGTTTCGTATACAACTGAAGGAGCAGAATGACGCAAAACGAAGCTGTGAACCTTGAAGAGCAGGCCTATTTGGACCTATGTGAGCGTATCATCAAAGAAGGTGAGCACCGTCCGGATAGAACCGGTACTGGGACGTACTCCCTATTCGCTCCACCACAGTTGAGGTTCTCCTTGAGAGACGATGCCTTCCCACTGTTGACCACGAAGAAGGTGTTTACAAAGGGAATCATCCTGGAACTGCTGTGGTTTGTTGCGGGATGCACTGACGGTAAGAAGTTGAGTGAGCAAGGTGTTAAGATTTGGGAAGGAAATGGGTCACGTGAATACCTGGACTCCCTTGGGCTGACTGATAGAAGGGAAGGAGACCTAGGCCCGGTTTATGGGTTCCAATGGAGACATTTCGGTGCAGAGTATAAAGATTGCGATACTGACTATACCGGCAAGGGATTTGACCAGCTGGCAGACGTTATTCATAAGCTGAAGACTAATCCATACGACAGAAGAATCATCATGAGTGCATGGAACCCACCAGACTTCCCTCAAATGGCCTTACCACCATGCCATGTGTTTTCCCAGTTCTACGTTAACTTCCCTGAAGGTAAGAAGCCTGAACTGAGTTGCTTATTGTACCAAAGATCTTGTGACATGGGTCTTGGTGTTCCGTTTAACATTGCGTCCTATGCCCTGTTAACCAAGATGATTGCAAAGGTCTGCGACATGAACTGTGGTGATTTGATCCATACAATGGGTGACGCTCACGTTTACAAAGATCACGTTGATGCCCTGGAACAACAGATTCAAAGACAGCCATACACATTCCCAAAGTTGTTCATCAAACGTGACGTTAAGGACATTGACGATTTCAAATATGAAGACTTCGAAATCGTTGACTATAACTGTCATGGTAGAATAGCTATGAAGATGAGTGTTTAAAAGAGAGATTTTTTAAAGAGCTACAATGTAATGAAACAGAATTTGTAGATACTTTACACTAACATACTATGACGTCTTGGATTCTTCTTCTTTGCAGACCCCAAGTCAGGTTTTTTGAAGGTCTTTGGAACTCCGACTGCAGATTCTTCAACTAAGTCAAATACGGACAATTCATCGTCACTCAGTTCAAACCTCTTGTGCTGTCTTAGCTTGTCACTGTCAACAACCTTTTGAATCTTATTCTGGGTAATACTACTCAAAGGTCTGCGTCTCTTTGTAATGTTTGAGTTATCCTGTTCAATCAGTGGTCTCGCTCTCTTTTCCTTTCCATTTTCATCGTGTTTGGAAGCCTGTTCTTGAGCAGCAATCTCTTCTGTAGGTTTTGTCTCTTCTGGCCTTGAGATATCTTCTGGTTCGGCACTCAAAGACTTCTGGGGTGGTTTGACAAAGCCACCGTCAGCGACAGCATCGACGAACTTCTCGGATTGCCTTCTCATCTTGACTCTAAGGGAAGGTTCTGCGTAGCTAATTTGTTTACCTCTCGTTCTGGATTTTCTAGTAGATAACAGATCGTCATTGTCAACCACTAGTGTAGGCATTTTCTCATCAACCGAGGTTCTTGACTTCCTTTTGGTCTTTGTATGTTTAATCTTCGTGGCGTCTTGTTCCAAAGGTTTATATTCATCGGTAATTTCTGAATTTGTCGATTCATCACCATCGAGTAGCGTAGATGGAAGAATCTTTCCAAAGCTAGTTGGTCTTACAGATTCATCGGCTAATCTTTGGATTTTCTGCTGAATGTCATCCTCGCCTTCACCTTGATTCTTTAGGATATCCATAGGCTCAGGTGAATCCTCATATACTTCAAACATACTCTTCTTTGAGGTTTCCCTGACACTAGGTGAAGAGGTACTTGTCTTTATTGGAGAAAGAATTACGGAGCGTGCGAGTTCCCCATGGCCTTCATCAAGATCGCTTAAATTCTTGGATTCCACAGTATCCACAGGTTTATTATGGAAAGGGTTCGGCTCCTCAAAATCAATAGGGATTGAAGCTGCCACTGCTGCTGCTGCTGTTGTTGTTGTTGTTGTCGTCGTTACTGTATTACTTGTCGTCAACAACGTTGTCATGGCTTCCTCTTCTTCAGTAACCCTTGGTGGTGACGGTGGTGGGATATATATGGACTCTCTTCTAGCGCTTTTGCGTCTTCTCTTCTCCCTGGAAAGTTTATTACCCTCTTCTGTTTGATCCTCACTAGCTTTAACATTCGAAACAAACGACACCGTCTTTTCAGAGGCTGACGACAACGTGATGTCATTCACATTTATACCTGGCAGTGCAGCGATCATCTTCGATTCGGAGAGACCCTCATTGTTTCTGATAGTTGCAAACATCTGAAACATCTCCTCAAACCTTTGGCTCACACCAGCTTCAATCACATTCAACTTGTCCTCTAAGCACCTTCTCTTTTGATCCTCGTTTTTGGCATTCAGTGCCCGAAGCTCAATGTTTTGTTGAATCAAATCAGAGATCTTCGTCTCTAAGTCAGCAATCTTCGTCATCAATACCGAATTCTTCTTCGCTAACGCCCTGTTCTGGCTCAGTATCTTCTGCTTCGAAGAATCAATGCTTTGTGGTCTCAACTGAAATGTTGTAGCTCTGCGATTCGATGGACTTGTCAATCTTCCTGCTGCTGGAAATGCCATCTCAGTACCTCTTCCTGGCCTTGCTACAGTGTCAGATTCCCTTTTCTTTCAACACCGCCTGCAAATGAGCTTTCCCGCCGTTGGTTTGTTCCCTTTGCCTTCGAGTTTGTTGATGTTTTTGTTTACGTTTTTACTTTTGTTTTTGTTTTTTGTTTACTTTTTTGGGAATTCAAGTTACCGTCGCGGGGGAAACCTCCCAAAATAGAAATACTTCCTAATTAGGAAGTGCAAGGTAACAACTTTTGCGCCAAAAAGGTGCCCTTTTGTAGACTTTTGCGCCAAATGGGAAAACTACGGTCAGGGCACGAAAAGGCACAGCAAAATGACAGCAAAACTGATTTTGTGACAGCAAAAGTGTTCGAGATTGGCAATACAAGCTGTGATATCCGACCTTCGGACTCGATTTCCGGGTTTATCATTGGATTATATCAACTGTGATTTACTATAACACTTTACAATTATCACATACTTTTGAGATAGGATAACAACATGAAGGACAAATCCTCAAGATTCGAGTGTTTCTCTACAATGGTTCAAAAGGCACTTCTTGAACCATTGCATTTCTTCTTTATAAAGTTCCTAGAGCTGAACCTCTCCTCTTATATTTCTGAATTATATTGTTATTAAGAATCATCTTATTGTCACTATCATGTCAACTATTCTACTAACCACACCGTGCAAAAGAACCACTATACATCCTACTGTTAGTGAAAGATATATTGTGACGTCGATATAACTGGAAACATTAAGCTGACCCCCGAAGAGCCCATCATCAAGTGTCTTGTCGCATCTCAATAAGACACACACACAAGGAGTGCGTTCATGCTCCTCTAAAGAAATGGCCACCTTTTTGCCGTCTCCTGGACATTCTAAGGGGCTCAAAATGGCACATTCTCATGAACGGCATTACCTGTTAACTGTATGATGTTGAAGTCTGTGATAACAGTTGTGGTACATGGCGTCGTCAGCTAATGAAGCAAGCAATTGGATTCCTCTGCGTGCCAGCATGGCGCCAGTGGCATTGAGGTAACTCCACTATGTAGTGGAATCTGTCAGCGATGCAAACACCTCTTCGACAGATCTTGTTCCCTTCCAGCTCTTGTCGTAGTTCGAGCCACTTAGATAAGCAGAGTATTTGACGCTCTCGCCTATATATTTGGCATCAGCAACGAGTCTCTTGAACGAATCGTAAGGTAGTGGGTAATCAGGTATTGCGTCCAGTTGTGAAGTAATGTGTAATTGCTCGAGGAATGGCGTCTTTATGGTTCTCAAGTTACGCCCAGATATTGATGCTGTCATTAATGTCTCGTCCTGTGGTGTTTGAAACTTCTTCAAGTGCTCTGATGAGATGGTGCACTGGTCTGTTGGTAAGAACACTGTTCCAACTTGAACACCGGCAATGTTCAGCTCGAGTAGTTGTTTCACTGTTGAAGAGTCATATACACCACCTGCTGCGATGATAAAGGGGACTGCTTTCAATGGCTGAGAATCGACGTATCCTACAACTGTCTTGACTAGTTCCATAGTTGACAACTGTTCATCGTCGACGTCATTAGCAATGAAGCTACCACGATGTCCACCAGCCTCCCATCCCTGGAGCACAACACCATCCACTTCAGCTTCAAGGCATTGTTTGAACTCCTCAAGATTGGTCGCTGTGACAAAGACTTTGATCCCAGATCCTTGTAGAGCCTGCTGAATGGATTGCTGTGGTAATCCAAAGTGGAAGCTCACAATCTTTGGTTTCAGCTTTATCAACACTTCAACGGTAGGATGTGCTGGATCCTTTATAGACTTGAAGCTTGGATACAGCAGTTCCAGGTGTTTCTTGTCGTTATCATAGGGGATATTACCACATGAATATATCGTTTGATATTTACCACACCACTCCTGGATCTTTGATTCGTCAATGATTGGCTCCTCATGTGTGAAAAAGTTCAGGTTCATCAGCGTTGCTTTCTCCAAAGGTAACCTCTCCTGGAAACTCTCAACTTGTAATCGGATCTTCTCAGGTGACTGACTCAAGGATCCCATCGCCAAGGAACCAATTCCCCCTAGTCTTGTTATAGAAGTTGCTAAACCCACTGTCGAAGCACCAGCCATTGGCGACTGGATGACCGGATACTTGATATCAAACACCTTCAAGAAGCTACTCAATTGAGATTTCATCTTGATGCCACTGTCTTGAAACACACACACACACACACAAATAATGTCACTTCGCCTCGAATCTCTTCAAACTAGAGCATTTCAAACTGCTTTATATATAAAGACGGAGAATAATATGTGTGCCATGAATATAACATCGACGCATCAGCTGCATACTCAGGATAAATGGAGCAAACAAAGGCTCACGGCAAAACGGAACCATCAAGCGAAGTAAACAAGCGGTTTCACAAGGCTCAATTGAGCTCTATCACGCCTTCTTCCACCTACAAGTCACAGGTTTAAAGACTTGTTCATGAGTAAAGTATATGTCCATGTATTGCTGTCTTGTGTTGCCTCGGAATTTACCCTATTCGTCCAATTCCGACTTAAGTATAGGCTCGTTCAATTTTACGCACTTTTGTGAGCTTCTCCATATTTTCGAGTCTCCAGTTGGTAGCCTCTTGGTGTTGATTCGAAAGTGTTAGTTGGCGGAAGTACTGTGCAACCCTTCGTTCTGAAGATGAGAAACCATACGAGTGAATTCACCGAATTGGTCAAAAGCTACTCCAAGGAACTTGGAATCAAACCGAAGGAACATGTTCAACACGTTGTTATTGATGATACTTTTATAAGCGAAGCAGTTGATCTATTTAGACACGTTAGCGAGCTGAGGAAGTTGTTGCTCGGTGTTAAAGATGAATATCTGCTGTCGTCTTACTCTCACAAAGGTGAAGGGATGACGGAGGAGGAAAGAGATGAGGTTGATTCCCATGCCAGGGTTGAACTGCGTAAGGATTCGGAGAGACTGACACACTTGAAGAACTATGAGACGAAGAGATCGAAGAGTAAACAGTTCTTTGCCTTCAACAAGGGACAGGCATCAGCGGTGAATAACTTCCGTAATGGTGTTCTGAGTTCTTTGAACTTTGAATTGGAAGAAACGTCCAGACTGCTTCTAGAGATGCAGGAGACGAGGCTCTCGAGGAAACGTGATATCGATTTGACAGATTTCAACTCGAATACTATGAAGGTTGATGATCGGTATACAACTCTGCTGTTGGAAGAGGCTGAGTCTCAAAGACTTCAGGATGAATTGGAAGAATTGCCAAAGGAACAAGTTATGCTATTGGAGACAGAGAATGGAGAGATCTTGGATGCCAAACTGGAAGAGTTGGCCAAGGTGGAACAAATCCAAAACTCCGTTGTGGAGATTGCCCAATTGCACTCTCAGCTATCGTCATACTTACAATTACAGTCTGAAAGCATTCGTTCCCTTTGTAACGAGCAAGATTTGATCGAAATGGACGTTTCAGAGGCTGGTAAACAGCTCAGAAAAGCAACCGGAAGGGGAAACTATGCAACAAAGGTAATCATGGTGATGGCCATACTGATGGGCTTGATAATCCTAGTTTATGATCATATACACTGGTGAATGAAAATACTCGTTTCTTTACAGATGTGCGCAATAATGATGATGATACTGGTTAGATCTTTTCAACAACACCAGCTGCAACTGTTCTTCCTTCCTTTCTCAGGACGATTCTTCCCATCATCTTATTCTCTTTGAATAGTTGCAATGGTAACTTTCTTTCGGTTTCAATCTCAACAATGGCACTTTGTTTGGCGATGAGATGTTTAGCCTTGCGCTTGGTTGAAGGTTCACCATTCTTGTCAAAAACAGTCAACACTTTGGAGATCTTTGCCTGCTGTTGAACGTTACCTCTAAAGAGAACAAATGGTGTTCCAACGAGCAGAGGTCTATCCATGTCAAATGTAACCACACGTGCCTCAAATTTGGTAACAGATGGGATCTCGTGTGTTACAATGCTCATAACATCACCTGTACGGACGTTATCCAAATCAACGTTCTTAACTCTGATGGTAATGGAATCACCAGCAATGGCAATGTTAACTTTTGAATCTCTCAACGTGATGGAATCAACAACACCAAACGTTCCAGAAGGTGAAAAGACAACTGTTTCACCAACTTGAATTGTTCCTGTATCGATTCTACCAGTGAACTCCGACTTGGAAGTATCAATGTCATTGATCTGTAATACAAATGGCTTTGTAAACTCCCTGATGGTTGCTTCAAACGATTCCAATGCCTCAATAACACATGGACCAGAGTGGTACCAATCCAATGCAGGTGTCTCATACTTTTTTGACACGTTTGCACCTGAGAGTCCGGAGCATGGAACGTATTTAACGTTACTCTTGATGTCCCATCCACTCATCTCTAAGAAAGAATCCATCATATCTTTAATCTCTTCAAATCTATGTTGATCCCAGCCAGATTGGTCCATCTTGTTAACACAAACCAGGAGCTTGGTAATCCCCAAGCTTCTAGCCAGTATTGTATGTTCCTTCGTCTGCCCATCCAGGTTAAATCCAGACTCAAACGCATTTGTTGAAGAGTCTACAACCAACACAGCCAGATCAGCCTGTGCCACACCGGTGATCATATTTGGAACAAAGTCTCTATGACCTGGAGCATCCACAATGGTGAAATGACCCTTAGCAGTTTCAAATGATGAGGAACATATGTCGATAGTAACACCACGGTTTCTCTCCTCTGGCGTTTGATCCATCACCCAGGCAAGTGAAAATGAGGATTTACCAGCCTTTTCAGCCTCTCTTTTCAGTTTGTTATACTGTGACATGGACACTGTTTCAGATTCCAGTAGTAAACGACCTGTTAAGGTGGATTTACCAGCGTCAACGTGTCCAATGACCACGAAAGATAAATTTGGCTTTGTAGATCTCTTCACAATCTCTGAATTGACATCCAATTCAACACGAGGCTTTGTCACTGATGGGGTCGCTGACACCTTCAGCTGCGAAACTTTGGCCACCACCTCAGTTTCTTTCTTCTTATCACTGTCAAAAGCCTGTGTTTGGGCCTGTTTCACCAAATCATCGGGACTTGGCTTGTCAAAATTAATCTTCTGTTTTACAACTAAATTACCGTTAGTCATCATAAAGGGAACGTAGAGGTGATTTGCACTCTTCAGCTGATCACTATGCTCTGTTTTGAATCTTTTAACCATTGTAGATGACGTCTGTGAAACAGGTGAACGTGCAAAGGGAGAATGCTCAAACGTGACCGTCTGGAATGAGAAAATCGGTTTCTGCTTAGCATCCTTGGAAACAGCGTCAACAGCGTTAACAGTTTTCGGTGCTTCATCTCGGCTTCCACCCTTGGCTTCGGCTCTCTTCAGCACTCTCTTGACTCGCCTCACAGGAGTATCAGCTTGTTCGGTCTTCCTTGTCATTAGCTTGTCCAGTATCGACACCGACGACTTCTCCCCAAGTTTAGAGTCCTGCTGGTTCTCCCTCCTGCTCTTGGCCAGCATAGCCAGCTTAGACATCTTCTTCTCTTTAATTGAAACGGTTAGCATTCAGACTCCAAAAGACCATAGAAATCAGTGAAACAAAGACCCATCGTGTGTAGAGAGTACAGTGTCGTAGCAAGTCAAATCACAAAATAAAAACGGTACACAACCCACTCACCTTTCTTCTTGAACTTCTTCTTCATCTCTGCAACAGTGGCATCCACTTCCAAGTAGTTGTCCCACAGGTAGTCCAGCACATCCCCATCGTTAAACCCAGTGTACTCCTTCAACTGTGCTTTGACCACGGGCAGGAGCTCCTCCATCTGCTCCTCCTCCTCGGCGGTTGGACCATCCTCGTTCGCATAGTCGTGCAAGTCTGCCTACATGTTAGTTCGTCGTGCTCACCGTGTCGTCACTGCTGGTGATGCTTACCGTCCTCGTCGTATTCCATGTTGGCTTCTCCCTTGTTCTCTGTGTAGCTCTGTCCAACTTCCCTGTCTAGCGTTTTTTTCTCTCCCTGGGAAGGCCCCGCGCGCCCTCTGCCGCCAGGCGGTTCAGCGCTCACGGCCAGGCAGAGAGAGTCCACAAAGAGAGCCTACAGAGAGAGAGCTTTTTGTTTACTTTCCACTGCCTACACACACACACACGCACAGAGCAGCTCAAGCGACTAGGGCAATGGGGCCAGGTGATATCACAATCAAAGACAACAAACTGCAGAAGGAGCTGATGCTCAGTGAGTGCTCGCTGATACGGATTCCACCGCCGAGGAGCCAGTCGCAGAAGGACAAGGTTGACATCTCCAACTGGGACCTGACAGCAATAGTATGGAGAGGGCGACTGAGGTTCTATGAAGAGGAGCAGCTGAACGGGCAGGGGACGATGGAGGGAGTTCTGGAGCTCATTAACTATGATAAGAGTGTGTTTGTCGATGTCCGGTGCTCGTCAGACGTGACGACGGTGCAGAGCTCGGATTCACCACGGTGCTTTGGGATCATAGTTGACGTTAGAGGTGACAAGTACGCATTTGGACTGGTGTTTGACGATAAAGACACCGGCGAGGAGTTCAGCATTGCTCTGCAAGACTTCAGGAGGGACCTTGCGACGCTCCTGGAGGCGCAGAGGGAGCAGATGGAGGACCTTTCGATAAACGTCAAGGACGATGAGTTTGGTGACTACGTAGGCACTTACTACGACTGACTGCTTCCTACAACGATAGGTAGATACATATGTACAATGGGGCGGCGGCTTTCCTTTTCTAATATATACACATACGCAATTGGGGATTCTCATTCATCACGGTACCAGGACACTTTTCTCTTCTGTCTCTCCAATCTTGCCCTTCTGCGTCCTTCTGACCAGGACTTCTTGATCGTCTCAAGCCTCTGTGTCATCTCCTCTTGTCTCTCACTGTTGGCATCGCTCACCAACGATATTGTGAAGGGACTTACGTTGAACTTCTCTGCAAGCGCCTTGCGAGTCCATTTGTCTGGCTCGCTCATTCTCAAGGTTTGAATCTCTGTGACTTGTGCAGGGGTCAAGTTCAGCTCACGACGGGTTGGTGTGCTCAACGAGGGAGCGTTGGCATAGGATGTAGAAGGCTTACCACTGAGATTTAGCCCCTTACGTGGATCATTCGAAGGTAAAAATGCATCTGGAGTGGAGATCTTTGCAATCGATGGTGATGGATGGTGATACAGCGTTCCCTTTGAATAGTTCGGCTTCACGTTTGAAGCGGATGATGTCGCATTGAACTTTGAAGGAACACGAGCAATTTTCGACACCGTTGAGGAATAGCGAACAGAGCTTCTAAACACACTTTGAACCATTCTTCTTTGTACTTCTGGTGAACGTAGTTGGAACGATCTCTGGTCAAAAGAGTTTTTTCTCTTCGCCGACTTTACACTTTTGAATTTTTCACTCGGGTGGTTGATTTTTGCCAGGTTACTACAGGTGTGCGGGTGTTTGGGTGTCTAGGTTTATAGGTGTTTGGGTGATATAATAATTATGATAAATTATGGCAAGGTTATAATTATCATCACTGCGTCTGGAGGGAACAGTTCATTGGAACGTTGGAAATGGGCTCCAATCTGGGTTAACGTACCTCTTCTCCCCGTACTTATCAACCAGATGTCCCACTGATTCCAAGTCGTTCTCGGATATCTCAACGGATTCCAAATTGGAGACAATTCTTTCCGGGTTTGAAGATTTAGGTAGGACAACTATACCCCTGGATAAGCCCCAATTGATCAACAATTGTGCCACTGAACATTTGTAAGTCTCTGCGATTCCCTTGAGAAACTCATCTGAGAAGAAATTTGAGTTCGCTGAGCCCAAAGGTGAATATGCCTCGAGAACAATACCCTTCCATTGACAAAATTGGATCAACTCAAACTGAGGCAATAACGGATGGGACTCAACTTGGTTTACAGCAGGTGTCAGATGGGTTCTTTTATCACTCAACAAAGTTTCTAAATTCTTTATTGAGAAATTAGAAACCCCAACTGCCCTTGTTAGCCCTGTTTGGGGCAACTCTTGTAAGAGTTCCCACGTCTTCACGAAATCCCAATCGTTATCCAATGCTCTTGAGCCATCTGGGTTAAGAGGAACACGAAGGTAGTCACCAACCGTTGGTTTTTTCAGGGGAATTGGCCAATGCATAAGATATAGATCCACATAATCCAATCCTAACCTCTCAAGGGATTCCTCCAACGCCTTTTTAGGTTCTCTATGCTGGGTCCCTGTTAGCTTTGTAGTGACAAAGATCTCTTCCCTTGGAATACCAGATTCTCTGATAGCACGCCCCACTGAAACTTCGTTCTTGTAAAACGCTGCAGTATCAATGTGTCTGTAACCTGCCTTTAGAGCTGTCAAGACTGCTTGATAACCTTCCTCCTCATTTGAGAGCCATGTACCTAAACCAACCTGTGGGATCTTTGCGCCGGTATTAAGAGTTAAAGTACCAGTTAGCTTTGTCATATCCGGTTGTTCCTTTGTGCTTTTCACTCCTAGTATTCACTCCTGGTATTCACTCCTGGTATTCTTATGAGTGAAAGACGTATCGCTCTGACTGAGGAAAAACCAGGGGTAAACTGAAGAAAGCAATGCCATCTCCTTCATATGGAAGTTCAAGCGCATTTATGTATGACGGACTTAAACGAACTTAAAAGAAATAATCGGATGATAAAGTGTTATGGGACACATGTATATACATATTTTTTTCCTGCTTCCTCTTGTATGTTATTGTTTTCTTGACGACCATTTGTAGTGTAAACTGTGTCTTTCGGTTGATCTCAAGAGTGCAAATGGTAAGCATTGAGTACATCCTTCCCGTGATGAAAAACCATAACTAATAGAGCTATTAGGTTCTCCCCATCATCGTTGGTATTGGCATCACCGTGTTGGCAGTAACAGTGAGTTTTAACGTATCAACCGATAACAACTGATTGTTAAGTACTAACCACCACGATACAAAGGTCAAATCTGCTATAGTGGCAACCACAAAGCTCAGGAGAATCCCATTGGCGACTATTGCGGAGCTGAATGGTATAACCTTGGGGACCGGACGCTTTTCCTCTTCTATAACGCATAACCCGCTAAGGAGCCAGTTTCTGAAGTACCCCGGAGGATTCGGAGAGAAGATGACTGAAAGAGAGGCATTGGAGTTGTTCAACATCAGCGGAGACGATATAATGAACCTGAACAGAGACCTTCTCAGGAAAAGGCACAGGCAATGTATGATGAAGAACCATCCGGACCGTGGGGGTAGTCCGTATTTGGCGATGAAGATCAACGAGGCCAAGGACGTCTTGGATAAGAGCTACATGTTCAAGAAATGAGCGGAATTAAAAGATGTATATAGAGATATATGTATGACGACTATGGAGATATAATACCCACATGGTTGGCTATAAAATAGAAGAGCACACCGAGTAACTTCAACAGGTAGAACGGCGGTTCATGAAACATCCAAACACCACTCAGCTTATCAAGTTTCTCCACAAAAGAAAAACATCAACAACGGGGAAATCGACCAACAAAGAACTACGAAAGGTCTCAAAAGAACGAAGAAAAAAGGTGGCAAATCAAAACAAAATGACAAGGGAATGGGAGCCGCCTCAGCTGCTTGGAAGATCGCTTGTTGCTTGTGACTTTAGCGATGATGTTACGCAGAGCGCTTCAATTTCTGTATCGTTAGACCTAAGAGGAAGGTTACCGCCCAATGGGTACTTGGCGGTGAAGCCCTTGGGCTCGGAGCATTTTGATGAGTTCCTGGTTTATCGAATCGACAACAATGTCATCAGCGGTGATAACCGTGTCAAGATCAATGACTACTCGAGGTTCAAGGAGGATGTTACTTTTGACACGGCGGTTATCACCACTGTGGAGCCGGTGAATTTGACAAAAGTGATTATGACCGTCCCAGAGGAGGTTTATACGCTTCTGAAAGGACATTCAGGTGCTGAACTATTCCGCGTATTGACTGATACTATGCATTTGAACGTTATCCATGAGGGTGATAAGGTCTTGAGCCATGGGAAGGTTTTACTATGTGAACCTGTGCCTCAGGGGTTGTTGACAAAAGAAACAACTGTGACTCTCATCAAATCAAGCGACGTGGTTCATAGCGATGCTGAAGAACTGCATACCCCTGAACCTATGGATTCATTGGTGGAAGATCTTGATATATCGTTATACTTGGGGAATGCCTCTACAAGTACAAGAGATGTTGAATTTGACGTTGACACTTTGGATCTCAAGCCTAATTACTCGATACCCTTGCCTTTGCCTAATGATGACGATACAACAACTGTTTATTTGAAAACTTCTGATTTAGCTGAATTGGGCTGCTTCTCTGGTGACTTTATTGAATTGGTTACGGATGTGGAGAACCAAGTAACAAAACTGGTTAAAGTTTGCTCCTTTGTTGAACCAAATCACTACAAGCCTGGTGTATTGTACGTTTCTCCATTCTTTTGGTTAAACTCAAAATGTTTGAAAAAAGCTGTTGCACGTCATTCTAAGGATACATTCTCCAACATCCCGATAGCATCCTCAATTACATTGGCAAGAGTTGCATCTCCAATCACTCTTAACAAAGCTTACCAACAACCCTTTTTCTCTGCTTTGAAGTTTTACTTTGAATCCAAATCAAGAATTGTGTCTGTGGGCGACTTGATTCCAGTAGTTATTGACACACTCTTGGCTAAATCTTTACCTTTGGAATACGAGGGTCCTATACCAATAGGAAATCCGAATTGCGTGGTTTGGTTTAGAGTCACTAACGTGAACAATTCCGAAGTGGAAGATGGTTCACAATTCATAGTCGATCCTTCACACTCAAAGATGGCCCAATCAGGGATTGTTGATATTAGACCACCGTCCCTAACCGTGAACTGGATTCAATACTTGGGTTTACCTGCTATATTTGACTTTGAATCGAATGACAAGTTGTTCCCACATGCCAAACAGTTAATCAAGTTGATCAAATCTTCTTTAAAAATACCAAAGTTAAGAACCACTATACTGTTAACTTCACTATCCAGAAATATTGGTAAGACGTTCTTGGTGGAGAATATTGCTCAAGCACTAGGTCTACACTATACCATTGTGGACGGCTACGACGTTTTGAATCCAACTTCTGATATGAAAACAATTGGTACAATTAGAGGCAAATTGGATCGCCTCGTCGAAGATTGTTCTCATTTGGTCATTCTCATAAAGCATTTGGAGGCACTGGCTATAAAGCAAGAAAACAATACAAAGCCAGGGCTTATAAGTGCTAAGTTGGTTGAGTTGATCGATGAATATACATCAAAAGGTGCAATCTTCATTGCATCTTCAAATGATGCGGATAAACTACCAGAAGAGGTACGTTCTAAATTTCGTTTCGAGATTGAAGTTCCAGTGCCTGCAGAGAACGAACGTTTGAAGATCTTCAGCCATTTGCTATCTAAGAAGGATGCGTTCATATGCCGTTCCGATGTCTCACTTACATCATTGGCTCTGCAAAGTGCAGGTTTAACTCCACGTGATTTGATTTCAATTGTTTCAAACGCCAAGTCAATGGCTTTGGAGAGATTAGAGGAATTGAGTGAAGAGTTAAACAAACCGCTCAGTTCGATTACGCTCAATAACCCGGTACAGATAACCCCTGGAGATTTCGAAAAATCTATTAACGATGCGAGAAATAAGTTTAGTGATTCCATTGGTGCACCTAGAATTCCAAATGTCACTTGGGACGATATTGGAGGTTTAGATGTTGTTAAGGATGAAATATTGGATACCATCGATATGCCACTTAAACATCCGGAACTATTTTCCAATGGTGTCAAGAAGAGAAGTGGTATATTGTTTTATGGACCTCCAGGTACAGGGAAAACGTTATTGGCAAAGGCCATCGCAACAAACTTTTCTTTGAATTTCTTCAGTGTCAAAGGCCCAGAATTGTTAAACATGTACATTGGTGAATCTGAAGCTAATGTGCGTAAGGTTTTCCAACGTGCCCGTGATGCTAAACCTTGTGTCGTTTTCTTTGATGAATTGGATTCTGTCGCTCCAAAAAGAGGTAACCAAGGTGATTCTGGTGGTGTTATGGATAGAATTGTTTCCCAATTACTCGCAGAATTAGACGGTATGAGTGGCGGTGATTCAGGTGATGGTGTCTTTGTCGTCGGTGCGACTAATAGACCAGATTTGCTGGATGAAGCATTGTTGAGACCTGGAAGATTTGACAAAATGCTGTACTTGGGAATTTCAGATACACATGATAAGCAACAAAAGATCTTGGAGGCATTGACCCGTAAGTTCAAGTTAGATCCATCCGTGGATCTAGAGAAAGTTGCCAATTCATGTCCTTTCAACTTCACTGGTGCAGATTTCTATGCATTGTGTTCCGATTCCATGTTAAACGCAATGACAAGAGTGGCAAGTGAAGTTGATAAAAAGATTGCTGAATACAATAAAGGCAAAGAGGACCCTGTGTCGTTGAGATGGTGGTTTGATAATGTTGCCACATCAGAAGACATTGCTGTTTTGGTTAAAGATGAGGACTTTGATAAAGCCAGAAGGGAACTATCACCATCCGTGTCTACTGAAGAGCTCGAGCACTATTTGAGAGTTAGACAGAACTTTGAAGGTGGTAAGACTAAGTAAGAGATGGAATGAAAAAAAAGCAGACATTTATCATAAAAAGTACAGGTGTTTTTTTCCCTATTTATATACTCGTGATGTAAGCGCAAAAAAGAAGAGACAAGAGAAATCAAAGAACAATGACATGAAATCGTATGCATGCTTCCTTACAACTCCTTGAAGGCATCTCTACCGAAAAGGGCAATCTTACCCCAGTCAGCAACAACTTTGAATCTAGATCTCCATGACAAGATCATACCCAAGTACAGAGCTCTCCAGATATAGAAAGTGATGACACCACCACCGGAGTAGAAGGATTTGGCACCGTATGTGATGTTTGCAATGGCCTTCTCAGCACCGAGATAAGCCAAGGCACCCAAGTGAACGTATTTGAATGGTTTGAAGCCATGGTCTTGGAACAACAAATCAACCTTTTCGGTTCTGCTTTGCAATTCTTGGTGGAAGTTTGGAATTCTGGCCATCTTGTTCAATGTCTTTGTCAAGTACTCGGCTTCTTGGTGAGCAACTTGCGCTGTTGGTGGCAATTTGGCGAAGGCATTATCACCAATGGCAAACATGTTGTTTGTACCCTTAACTCTCATGTATTCGTCAACGATCAAACCACGGTTAGCCTGGTTCTGTTCTGGGATCTTCTTGAAGACATCGGTGACAACCTTTCTTGGTTTGTTACCTGTAGCCCACACGAGAACACCGTATGGGATCTTTGTCTCCTCAACAGTACCATCTTCAGCCTTGGTCTTTGCAATCAAATATTCCGGCTCGACCTTGGCGACTGCAGTACGGGTCTTCAACTCGATGGTTGTTTCTCTCAAGACATTTTCGGCAAAGGTGGTCAACTTCTTCTCGAACATGGACAACACGACTGGGAGAGCCTCAATCAAGACGATCTGCACTTCCTCAACCAAGTTTGGCATGAAGGTCTTCAAATCGTGGTCGATGTAATCCTGCAATTCACCAGCGGTTTCAACACCGGTTGGACCACCACCGACAACGACAACGGTCAACAATCTCTTTCTCTCTGGGTCGCCCTTTGGCAACAAGTTGGCTCTTTCGACAGAGTCGATGAATTTGTGTCTAATCTTCTTAGAGTCTGGGATTTCCTTGAGGAAACAGCCGTTCTCCTCAACACCTGGAATGCCGAAAGTGTTCGGCTCAGCACCCACTGCAGAAACCAAGTAGTCGTACTTGATTTCAGCAAGCTCATTTGGATCAAGACCAACATTGATACCCAATCCATTAGTGGTACTGATGTTAGACACAGACTTAATGGTGACGGTGTTCTTGTCGGGATTTATGGAAGTAGCCTCGGCTTCATAATAGGTGACATCACCTTTCTTCTTGTTTGCGAATGAGACGACTGGTTCCATGATGGATTTCTCATCAACTGTACCAACTGGACAGGATGGCAACAATGGAGTAAACAAGAAGTAAGATCTTGGGGAGATCATCACCACGTTGTACTTGGTTGAATCAATGTGCTTGAGGAAGGAAATTGCACCCCAACCAGAACCCAACACGGCGATTGTTGGCTTGTTGGAGTCATTTGGGGCAATCACTTTTGGAGCCTTGTGGAAAGACTGGGAACCAGATGCAACACCACCAGTTGCAGTGTTCTGTTGTGTTGTTGGCTCAGTTGGCTTTGGGATTGTAGCCATGGTTCTTGATAGATGCCCCATTGGGGTGGCCACAGCAGCAGCTCTTTTCGTTGCGTTCAAGCAAGATCTCTTAACCAGTGATGAAAGCATTGCGTCTAGTGAAATTCTCTAAGGCTCTAATATGTTGTATAAGAATATGGTAAAGGAAAGGAATATGAACAGGATGCGATTATATCTAGAAGAGAGAAAAAGCAGGTGCTTGGTCGAGAGAAAGGGTGTTTTATATGGAAATCGATGTTATAATTTTATGCAGACATGCCGGTACTTTTATACTCACCAAAAATCCGTTTGGCAAGTGCATGGAGGGGGGGAAATGCGATAAAAGTGGACAATGCAGGAGTTAGCATCCAAAGTGCACCTCCCATATCTACCGTCGCCGGTGGTTTGGGGTGAGATACACAGTAAATTAATTTCATCCGTATACACACAGCGAAACCCAAGCCTTGAAAAGCTGAGAGCAGTGGCAGAGTTTGAAGAAAGAAACAGAGATGCATGCGTAATGCCGAAGAAAAGTAAAGCACACACGAAAAAAAAGAAAAGGTATTTCCGAGCCTGTTTTTCCTTTTTTATGTGGGGGCAAATCTTGGTGTAGGGATGTGTGTGGCCTACGGGCGGTGTGCAAAGTGGCTACAAGTGGTGACTTGATTGACTGGCTGGTGTGTGTGTTTATACAGGCTCTCCTTCCATTACAATTGATCACACTGCTTCCGTGTCTTTCTATTTGTCTGCCACTCTCCTTACATTGTTGTATTCAAGAAAGGCCAAAGAAGGCAAGATGTCATGGATCTGCAATCCTCATCGCTAATTGGCTCTGTGCGAAATTCAACGGTTTATGATTGGCTGAAGCGCAACGGCTTTCGGAGTTTAGCGTCTTTTTCATAGTGTTTTTAGAGTTTGGCTTTGATGTGGCGGGGCATTGGTACCCTTCAAAACACACACAGATTTCCCGATCAGTTTTATCAATTCGTACCGTTTATGTTTGCAGTTGGTGAAAGCGGTGGGTGAGTTAGGGCAGGTTTGGAGTGTCCGTTCGCACAATCAGTTGTTGCCGTGGACACCCCTAAAAAAGGGAGGCCCATATTCGTCTATGCGATGATTATTAAACGCGGGAGAAACCCGATTCTCTACAGTCAATTCCAATGATACAGGGGTTTTCTGTTGAGTTTTTCAATTATAATCTCTCTATTTTTTTAACGCTGTCCGACCAGTCTTTATATAGATTAACACGGAAGTTGTGGTGGTTGTGGGTTGCCTCAAGCTGTGCTGTGGTATGCTCGATGTACGTATGTGGTCATTCAATGAATTATCGCTCAAAGGAGTCCTACGGGAAGCAACCAGTCAGGAAAAAGGACCACGGGAAGGCAATTGTCCACAAGGTGTGCAGATGTGATGAAATCATGGATCGTAGGCATGAAAATAAAGGGCTCGCAACAAGTTTTCCGGTAATCGGAACAAAGGCGACTTTTCAAACCTGTAGCCATGCACGAACTTGCCAGTGCATGAATACAGCCACACACACGCAGACAAGGGTGTGTGACGGTGTACAGTGGGTAGTACCTACGAACACTGTACTACCAACTTCTGGTAAACTGCTATTGGCATTTCTGACCTGTGTGAGAAGCTAAAGACGATAGAAACTAGACAATGTGGTGCCTGAAAAAAACCTTCATTGATGTAGCAGGTTGGGGTAAGTAGATCCGATATGACAATTTGCATGTTTCTCTTTTGTACAGCTTCACCTGAGCAGCTATGGCGTATGGGAAATATGTAGGGAATTTTGGGGTGTTCTGTTAATCTCTAATTCTGTTTCCATTTGATAACAAATTTGGTACGGAAGAACACATCTCCAGAGATATTCACAGTGTAATGTTCTTAATTATGGCCGATGCGTATTGAAAATTTGTTGAATCATTTATGTCCAATAATATAAGATTCCATTTATCGAGTTTAAATGAGTTTGCTGTGTTTTGGTATGTAGTAATTCTTGTTATATTAAAAAGACATTGATGTTATTGTTTTGAGAGGATAATTACCTGATTCACTTCTTTGACTTTCAAAGAAGTCATAGAAACTACATTAATCTACGTCTTTGGTAGGCAGTTGTTTATTTATTCAAAATTGTCACGTATAGCTCAAACATGTCATATGCAAGTTGTAGTCACTCTAACTATATATCTAGTGCCCATATATACCACTCGTCACAGTGTGGTGTTTAGATGCATTGCATAATCAATAAATACATCCAGACATCTCAAACATCCAGACATCTCAAACATCCATGCACCCAAACATCCATACACCACTAAAGTGTATGAACGCCAAAATCTTATGTGACAAACACGTGCTCCCCACCACCAAATTAAACTACGCATGTTAAGATATTTTTAGTAGAACTTCGCCTTGTAACTATAAGCGACGAAACGTGTTAGCCTCATTCACACAGACCGAAGCTATTTTTGGTAAAAAATTGGTTTTTCTTCTTCTCCTTCTCCTTATATATGGTTTAGCAAAACAATTGGTTCTTAAACAGTCATTGGTCATTGTTCACTTCAATCGTTTAAGACATAACGCGCTATGGACTTTAAACTTGATGAGAAAGTAGAATATAACGAATATAACCAGCCTTGGGTTAAGGAATCCGAGGATAAATTTGACATGGACCCACTTAGCCCCTTGCAAAGGGCGATATCCTCAAAGATATCTGAAGTTAGAAAGTATAACTGGTTCAGGCTCTATGGCGCAGAGACGCCCAACCTCATCGCTGTTAAACCAAATGAAGAGTTTAAGAATATGAGTATGAATAAGGTTAAGGAGAACACCCATTCTCTGAAGATCGAGAACCAGTTGTTGAACTTGTTCATTATAATATTCACACTGCTTGCAACTTTTCAGTTTGCTCTCGTGCTTATAGTGAGATTTGACCTGGACCTCCTCGAATGGGATTACCATGTGTTATTCCATTATTCTTATCTTATTCTCCTATTAATTGGGAAATGTTTGACATATACATTTATGGCTTCTTTCTTCTTAAGAGTATATATCGGTATTAAGTTGTTCAAGGACAGTGTTAAGACCAATGTACTGATGAAGCTTATAAAGATGCAATTTGTTGGTTTCCTAGCCTCATCACTCGTTGCCATAGGTATCCTGTCTGCAGATATGGTGTTGAAGTTCTTATTAACAGAGTTGGAGGTTATTAACCAGGATGAAACTCTGATAAACACAAAAGTACTATCAATGGTTAATTGGATTACAAAAATGGATTGGGTGTTTTACTCCACAGTAATAGCTGGCCTAGTACTGATGGGGTTTAGAAGACTGGTGAAATATCTTGCATGAGTATTTGGA